AGATGACACGACTCCCCGAATCACGAGTGACTCTGGAAACTTTACTTTGGTCCATGAAGTAAATTTGATTCTCTCACTCTCAACTTTTCCTTTACACTCTGGGACCCTGATTTCCAAATGAAACGTGAAATTCACTTTCACTTGAAAAGGGAACTTTGAATCATTGAGCAGCAATCCAGACAGTCTACCTGTTTTTTCTTCCCATAAACTAAACATACTTTGTGGGTTACAGGTCTTTAACATTCATAATACTTCTACAAAGACGTAATTATGGGTCTGATTAAATATACATTTGTTTTGAGAAACAGAAGTTTGGGTTTCATCAAATCATAAATCATATTCATACCACACTGAATGGTTTGTCCCAGCAATGTTTCAGTTTAATCTTTTATTATTTGACATTTCATGGACGTTCAGAGTCTGTTCATTCATTTGTCTTGCAGAGTGGCCTGAGTTTGTGAAGAACTACGCCCCTTGGTGGGCTTCTCACACCTTGGACTGGCTGACGTACGGGAAGAACGTCCACGTGGTTCACTTTGAGGAGCTGAAGAGGGACCTTTTCTCCCACCTCAAGGGGATGGTCCAGTTTCTGGGCTTGAAAGTCTCAGAGGACCGACTGCTCTGCGTCGAGGGCCAGAAGGATGGAAACTTCAAGCGATCAGGACTGCGGAAGCTCGAGTACGACCCCTATACTCCGGATATGCGAGTGAACATTGACGAGCTGATCAGGACCGTAGACGCTGCTCTGAAGAAAAGGAACATGTCTGGAGTTCCTGCAGAATATATGCCAAGATGATAAATGTGAATCGTTTTCAGTTTCTTATCCCTCCTATTAAATGGACGTCTCTATTAACAGACTGAAACTTTTTTTTTCTTGTTGTTTTTCTTTTCTTGGATCACAAAGCTTAAATAGATTTTTTTTTTTCCAAGATGTTTTTGTGGATTAGGTGGAGATGATACATCTGCTTCTATATTTATTGTTTCTGATCCCATTCATTTCCAGAGGAATTTTTTGCAAGAGTTATTAATTCAGACCTACTTCTTTTTTTTTTTTTCTGGGGAATATTTGTGTTTTGAAAACCACTTTATTCCCTGCTCTATGCACATGTGCTCTGTCGGCATGTCCACATGCCTTAATACTAAGAAGGTACAAAAACTGTGACCACAGTGGAGCTTCTCTTCCCGGCTGTTTCCTGATGCGGATGTGTTTCTAGCAGCATTTAGCACAAGTTATAGAAAACAATATTGCAAGGTGTATGAAAAAGCCTAATTTGTACAAATCGAGTATGAAAGGAAAATCAACATTTTCAGATGCTCTTACACTAAAAACTCAGATATCTAGTCTGAAATATTGTTCAGAGAATGATGACAATATTTCATCTCTGTTTCATCTTGAAGTCTTTTATTTGCTATTGAAGTAGATCTGGAGTTTCTTTTTATTGATTAATGTCCTCCGTATTTATATATTTCTGGTGTACACTGCACAAGGTGAAAACATTTTTTTTTTCTGAACACTGGATGCAAAAAAGGAAATCCAAATAGCACTACACTGTGCAACACCTGCCCCAAAGATCACCTAAGTTATTACAGTCACCCTGTAGGTTGGAGATCATCTTTACATGTAATGTAGGGGTTTTCTTTTATTTTTTAAGGAAAGCTCTTAAAGCTGATTTCCATTTTATTACATTTTTAGAAATTAGTTTTCAGCTAGACATCAATCAAGGTACTCTGGATTATTTGCCATATGTATCCAAATAAATATTAACAAGAATCAAATGAAGAACACTGGTGACTGATTAAAAGTCAAAAGACTTTACCTGACTTCCATTTTCACTATATGGCTATATTTTTATAGTACAGAATGAGGACACTTCAGAAATATTTGTATTACTATGAACAAATGGGAGAAGCTGGTTCTCTTTTCATGCTTTAAATTGTTTTTGGGTTTGGCTTTCATTGACAAGCTGACACTTTCAGAGCAGGTGTCATGTCTGAATGTATTTTCTATGAACTGAATGTGAGGTAAGAACGCAGAATAAAGGAGTAAATTAAGTAAACACTGAAGATGTGCTGGAGTTTTTTCCCCCCAGAGTTTCTAAGGAAAGTATTTTTCTAAGTTACTCTTATTGGCAAAATATGAAGGGCAGTTTGTTACATCTCAGTGCTTCAGATGGTCAGCGCCTAAATCATCTAAAAGAAGAAAAAATAAAAGTCCCTCAGCTGCTTATCTTTAAAAAATGATCTCCTAACCTTCCTAATCATGAAATACATCAAAGTTTTTTGTTTTAAGATGAGAAGATGAAAAGAGCTTGCTTGGTGTTGCCACTTTGTCCTATTCTAGCAAAGTACAACTTTACGCCACCACTTAATAGACCGCAGACAAGTTTCACCTTATTTCACAAACTGAGCATGAACTGAGACAAATCAGCAGCTAAAAGTATCATGTTAATTAAACTAATAATAGTAAAATGCATTTTTATGTTAATAGAAACACCCTGAAGCATTTTGTTGTGAACTTTCATGCTTACAAGTCGCTTTATTTTAATCACAGGGAAACAAGGACTGGGTTGTCTGAAGAGTGGATTCATCACAATTTTAGATTCATTTTGGATAAGCATGAATAAAAACGTATCACTAAATACTCTTCTGTATTTATCAGACTGATTTGACTCAAAGTGACCAAATGTGAGACAAGAGAAGCCGAATAAAACTCACAAACTGCACAACTAAGAGGAACTGAAGAAATGTTTGTTCCTGTTGTTCAAGAAGAACATTTACAGACAGTCATATTATAATTATATGTAACAGTAATATCCTCTACTTAAATCCTTTTAAAAGTAGCCCAGGCTGTTCAAACAACAGAAACAGACTAAATTTGTCCAATGCATGCATGCATAGAACTTGGTTTATTTAATGCAATGCATTGCAGTGGTACTGTGGTTTAACTCATACCGCAGTGACACTTTTTCCCATGACTGTGAGGTTTGTTGGCTTGTTGGCATTCACAAAGACACGACCCATTTCCTTTATCACCTTCTCCCGTCATCTTTCATTTGCGTCCTGTTGTCGGGTGTTCTTATCGTCACAGTTCAGATGTGATAAACTGAACAATCCAATCAGCACACAGAGAAAAGTCGTTTCTTCGCCAAATGGCTGGAGTCTATCTCACCAAATTCTAACATTCACTGCAACGCTCTGCACAAAGGGAAATCAGAGAGCCTTTCATGGATGACAATTGTTCCTGCTTTTTGCAAATAGGAAACATTTGCTGGATGTGATGCTTGACAGGATGTTTGAAAGCAAACACTAGTGACAAGTATTTAGCTATATTTGAGAGGTCAAGCAAAATTCTCTGTGTATTTAAAGTTCAGGAGATTTTTGTTCCAGGTGTCTACAACTTTGAGCTTCGATCAAGAGTGACCTGGAGAAGCTCTCCCATCAGTGAACCATCCGACATTGTTTAAAACATTCCCACTGGATCCTGCTGGATATTTGACTTGAACAGCAAAACAAGACATCAGTGCCCGACCACTTCAGCTGGACTTGATTTGTGACTCCTTGTTACATGAGATAAAGATTGTTAATGGGACTCAAGTTTAAGAACAGAAGTCCAAGTTGATTTTGGATTTGTGTTCAGACCATGAATTGAGCTTAATCTCAAATATTTGGGACTTAGATTTTACTCAGTTACAAGCCTAAGATCCATCTCTGCTATGTTCAGTCCATTAACAAAGTCAAAAAAGAGGAACAAGAAGTAGGAGAGTATAGGAAAACAATTTAAATTGTTTTAGGAAAAAGGAAATCAATATATCTTTTGGTGGATGGTAGTGTGGTTGAATTGCTTGCACTTTGTTAAAGCAAATCCAAGGCCAAACTTGCATTCAGAATGCAAGGAGCAAGAGAGCTAGAGTTGAGTGTGTGTAAGATTTAAAGGCACATGCAACAAATTATTTGTTTACATACATATGTGTGCTCCCATCAGTTTTATTGCCTGCTCAAATATGAATTTTTTTTCAGCAAGACTGTGGGAAAAGTGAGGGTGTTTAACCAGTTTCTGACATGGGTGGCATGAGGGACACCCCCCAACCCCACCTTCCCCATGTTGTCAAATCCCCCCACCCAATCACACTGAATATCAATCACAATGATTGTGTCACACAATGATTGTGTCACCACTTTTTTACCTGTGTAGCAAAACTGTGGTAATTTTCTACTATTTTAATTTTCTAAGATTTTACACTTTATTTTAAATGCTTGGAGAAAAGGTCTGATAAATGCTTCCCTCACATCAGACGCAAACTGGATGAACAAAGCTGCTCCTTGTGTTCATTGCTGCTGCACTTTTTGTGTATGTTTACAGGCCTATCATGTTTTTACCACAGTACCAATTTAGCGAATGATAGCTTAACACACCATCACACCAACAGACCACAACTCCCCACCCCCTTCTGCATTTTCATGCCTGGGCGGGGGTTGGATGATAAGGTGGTTCACCCAGCAAAAAGGCCATTTTATGAGAATAAGTGCGTGTGTTTTAAAGCCCACATCTCCTGCATGTGTTTGACAGAACTTGAAATGTCATTCTGTTAGTAATTAATCAACACAATGTGAAATAATTTAACTTTTCATTGACATATATTCCAGTTTAATAAAAATTATTGTATTTATGTATGTAGAGAGTTCTGTTAAGATATTCTTGTTAAGATATTCTTTTAAAAAACTGTCCTTTTGTAATATGTAATACTTTCAAATATGTGCATCATATTCTTGTTTTTTTATTTGTTAAATAAGCAACAGGGCTTAAACTGACCAAAATAATGTATTCCTCCAAATACTCATTTCAACCTATTCATCTTAAGTTTTCTGCGTTCAAGATGAAAATTCTTGTTCAGTCAGTAATTTCTTCATGTTTTTGAGAATAGCCTTGAAACATGCTTAGACTTTTCAAATGTAGATGAAATAATGACTAAAACAGATTTTAGAGAAACAAAATGAGCATATTCAGTTTTTTATTGAACAAATGACAATCAAGATTTTATACATCAAATTACATATGTACACATTTCCTTACGTGACTTGTTTTAAGAATCTCTATTAAAACATTGTCAAAAAAGTAGCAAGAGAGGATGACAGCTCCACTTACTTCTGGTAAAAACAGTACTCTGCACTGTTTTTACCAGAAGTGAGTGGAGTTGTTAACGTTAAGTGGTAAAAACAGTACAAAGATATTTTCACATCCTCCGTCTTGGTCCGTTATACACTAAAGAGTAAGATCTGGGTTGTTTTCTGTTTGTGACTCTATCCACAAGATACCTCTACTCAGCGTAGGACTATTCTGGTCCAAATAAATCATTTTCACCTATGTTGCTGTTGGTCAACTTTGTTGATATCATTACAAATTTTGTCACATGTCACTCTGAACAATCAATTCAAACCAGTCTGGACTCAGCAGAGTCCAAAGCCAGTAAATGTTTCTGCTATTTGCAAACACTTAGAGCCGTGACATTAAAATCATTCGAATGATTATTTTTGTAGTAAACATAAACAGATTTGAATTCAATATATAATTCATGAAATACACTCACTGTTAAAAAAAACAAAAAATATATATATAGACTTTTTATGTTGCTTCCAAGCCTCTAAATGTGCGTGGAAGCTCTGGCATCCATTGAGCTGGACCTGGACAGGTATCGACTGGTCGTGCGTCCTTCATCAGCCATTGCGTTCTCCATCTTTGAAAACAAAGAGCTCTTCAGCTTCTTCTTGAAGTCGTTTCCCATGAAGACGTACAGCAATGGGTTGAGGAAACTGTTGGCTGATGCTAAAATGACACTCATTTGCAGTCCAGTGGTTAAAACGTTGTGGTTATGGCTGTGGTGGTTCAGCTCCAGCAGGGTAAACACGTGGTAGGGCAGCCAGCACACAAAAAATGTCACGACGAGTGCAGTCATTACTTTGAAGGGTTTGGAGGACTTTGTCATCCTGTTGTTTTGAAGTTTGAAGATGATGATGGAGTAACAGATGATAATGACGGTGAACGGAACCACAAAACCCGCAAAGAAGCGGGTCACGGCAATAATCTTGTGACTGTGTGGTTTCAGGATGTAATTATTGAAGCAGATCTGATTTCCATCAATCGTATGGACCTCACGAAAGATCATTGAGGGAATGCACATTCCTATGGCGAGAAGCCAAGCGAAAACAACCACAGCTGATGCCTTTTGAACAGAGCGGTGGTTCTGGGCCCAAACTGGAAACATGACGGACACGCAGCGGTCCATGCTGATGACGATGAGGAGGAAGATGCTGCTGAACATGTTGATGAACATTGCTGCAGAGGTGAACTTGCACATGAAGGAACCAAACAACCACTCTCTCGTTGCCATGTAGGAGATGTTAAATGGCAGAAAAGCACAGAAGAAAAAGTCAGAGATGGCAAGGCTCAGGTACCAAGTGGTGTTCACAGTCTTCCTCATCTTAAAGCCAGAGATCCAGATGACCAGCATGTTCCCAAAAAAGCCCAGCAGAAAAATGACCACATTGATTGCAGTCTGAAGCACACACATGCCTTCCTTCAGACAACTTGGTTTGTGTGGTGAAAATGTTCCTTCAGGTGTCGTGATGTTGCCAACACCTGAGTAGTTGTAATCTGGATATTCATCATAATCAAAGTATTCCATTTTACCTTCCAGAAGAAAGATGAAATTTCTGTGAGACATAAATGAATACAAATTTTAAAATTATCCAAAAAAAATGAACGAATTATGGTTGATTTTAAGATGAAGACTAAATAACATGAGAGTTGTAGAACAAATCAATACCTTCTGCTTGGTCTCAAATTATCTGCCGTCGTCTCTTTTTGTGGTCGTTTTGTTCTGAGCTGAGCACCGACTGAGCTGCTCTGTTTCTCTCAGACGTTTCAGAAACAGCATATATAATCAGCTGACAGGGGAGGTTTCTCAACACTTCCATCCACAACGAAATTTCAGTACTGCATTCTGGGTTCTTACTCAGAATGCAGTTTCAGAGATCTAAAATATGTTGTTCTTGTTTGTGAGTTCTTGTTTGATCTTTTCACATTGTTTGTTTTCTTTCCAGAGGAATGTTCCATTTTATTATGTCAACAGCATTTCTTGCACATTTATTTAAAGTTCTTCTCTAAACATAATACCAGTAACCAAAACACTATTGTTTTATGAGCCTTACAAACAGCTAATACTCTAGTGGGGCCTCTGTGCAGAAGAAAAGAGAAATAATGAAGGAGTTAGACATGCATAATTTAGTGAGTATATCTTGTGAATCGACTGTAATGTTATTGAGAAATCTGTTGCCACATGTAGAGAAGAACAAAGTGAAAGTCCAACTTTTGTTGCAGATGTTTGATTTAACAGCCGGAGTAAATATGTCAGCCCTTGTTACTGGGTTGAGTGTGGTCGCTTTGCTCAACGGAGGAAATAAAAATTGAGGTTCCTGCTTGTGACCGGAATGGTTTGTGCTTTTTATAATTCATGTTGCCATAACTGCGGCAATGTTCGACAGTTGTTTTTTTTAATTTGAGACATTATTTTTGTGCTGTAATTTGCAAATGATTGTGTCGATTTCTTTATTTTGTTTAATTTAATCATTGATAGTATGATCTCAACAGCCCTTTTGCTTTGTTGTAAAAACTTGGCGACAAACTATAATGCAAACCTTAGAAGAGAGGTTGTGCTTGAAATGTATTTCTATGACATTGTAATGTCATTTAAATATATAATGTCATTTATCACATTATATTTAGTGGTGTGAAAAAGTGTTTTCCACCTTCAGTGATTCAGAACTTCAAACCAATTCAAATATTAGTCAAAAACAACACAAGTTAACACAAAATGTTGTTTTTAAAAGAAGGGGGTGGGGTGGTTTACTAAGTGGTTGCCCCCTAAACCCAATAGCTGATTGTTGCACCATTTGCAGCAACAGCTTCAGTCAAGCTTTTGCAATAAGTTGCAGAGTCTTTTCCTGTAGTGTGGAGGAATTTTCTCCCACTCTTCTTTGCAGAATTGCTATTCCAGCCACATTGGAGGGTTTTCAATCATGGAAGGCCTTCATGCCATGGCATCTAAATAGGACTTTGACTATGCCTATGTCTTCATTTTGTTTTTCTTAAGCTACTTAGAGGCAGAATTGCTGATGTGTGTGTTTTGGATCACTGTCCTGCTACAGAGCCAAGTTCATTTCAGTTTGAGGTCACAAACAGATGGCCAAACTTTGTCTGTCAGGATGTTTCAGTCGGCAGCAGAATTCATGTTTCCATTTTGTCACAGCAAGTCTTTCAGGTCCTGAAGCAGCCGAACAGCCCCTGACCATCACACTGCGACCACCAGCATGCACCCTGAAAAAGAGGAACATGTGGGAAAATAAACTGATGACCAGCGATGCTTTTTGTAATGAATAAGTTGAGATTTCACAGATCCTGTAATTCAGAGATATGTCTTATTACTGCAACACTGCAGTATTTTACAGCCAGCTGAATAAAGGTGTACTTTTTTCTGTAATAAACCTATGATAAAATATAGAGTTTTTTTTTTTTCTTGTCAGCAACGAAACTGTACAGTAATTTAAAGATTTTACCAAAATAATGTGGACATTAGAACAATGAGAAAAATATTCAGATCTGAGGGGCTGAGACAAAAACATCAAGATTAATATTTATGCAGATGCTAATAACTAACAGCAAATTAGAGCAGCTAATTATCCTGATATGCATGTTGTATGACTGTGTGGGGGGAAAACATACCTGCTGTGTTATTTGGGTAGAACATGCAAAGTACATACAGAAAGTCATAATTAAAATCAGCAATAATAGCCGTAGGACACAAACGTCATTGTGCTGGAAAATGGCTTCATAGAAACTAACTCCACTTCTGCAAAAAAATAAAAAAATAAAAAATACAAGGAAGTTTTCTTTGTTTTGCAATGAAGAAGAGCTGAACCAACAACATGTCATTTAACATGCCAGAAAATCCTTCACTCACAACTATGTTATTAGATAATGACAACAGAATTTACTCCGGATCATCATTTAACTCTGTGGAAAATTAGAAAATAATAGATTGTGTAAACTAGATTATCTGACCTACTTAAATGCATTTAGAAAAATTACTTTCTAAATCCAGCCCAATGCCTCACAGACTCAATTTCCTAATGAAGGCAAAGGTTATAAATAATCAAACATGCACACTGAGCAGGTGTAGACTTACTTTGAGAAATGCTCGGCAAGCTTTCTAATGAAACCTGGACTCTTGTTTTATGTTTCACAAGCAGCTTGATGGGGATCATTTGGATTCATAGTTAAAATAAAGTATTTACACAAGTCAATTAATTTAAAATCTGATTTTTCTTTGTTTGGAGTATTTATCCAACAGTTTTACATGGTTAGATGGGTGACATCATTAAAAATAAAAACATTTTCAATTCTTCCACTCGGATCTAAAAAGTTTTGTTGGTCTTTCTATAAAACGAGTTGTGTGGTTTAAAATAATCAGCATCACAGTGTTTCAGAGGCAGCCTGTAGCAGCTGAAAGGTGTTTTAACAGGAAATCCTCAGTGTGGTGGCACACTGAGCATTTCCTGCAACAGACCAAAGGACACAATTTAAAGTGTAACACTATTAAATTTTAATAGTTCATTTGTGAATTTTCCTCAAAAAAGTACATTTATTATGAATTTAAGCTAAATGATTTTTTTCAATGTGATTCTGCTTTAAAACTATTTTTTTAAATGGGTTTGTTGGGGTTTTGTGTTCCTAAACACCTTAACCCATTTGTTTCTTAAATGGCAAATGTCAGCAGATGAACTTTGACTCTGGAAATTTTGGGGGAAATGAAAGCTTCTTAAGCCACCTCTGACATCACATGGCTTTGAATTGGGTGTTTCTGTGGGATTGCATAATGCAGAAAATGAATAGAAAATCAACACTGATATAACATAAACAAAAGCAAAACAAAAACACAGACATTGGGATGACAGTTTTCATATGTTTAAGTCACATTGGGGTTTTTATAAAGTGTCTATTTCCACCAGTTCTATCCAAGGGCATCCATTTTGGTTCACAGCAAGAATGTTAGTTTCTATTATTCAGTATTTCAATTTTAGCAAGGTAATGTATTTCCTTTGTGCTGGAAAGTACTTCAGGAAACAGTTTTTCCATAGTTTGTAGAGAGAGTTGCTACTCTGAAGTGATGACAAAATGTATTTTACTTATTATGGATTATCTGAACAGGTAATTGGATAATATCCCTCACTGTGATTCATTTGAGTCCCAGTACATAAGAAATGGATTTCTTATGCATCAACGACTGTGCTTCTCATCTTAAATTTAGTATCTATAAAATGCAGAGGTCACTTTTCCCTATAATTAACAACACAGTCATTTTAAAACTTCTGTTTTTACTGCAGTTATCTTTATATGACATTAGGTTGTTCACTCACTCACTCTTTTGTGAACTCCTGCCTGCTGGAGTCTGATGTTAACAACCATTATAGACATTTCAGGTAAGTTGAACATCATTGCCACTTTTCTGCAATCCATTTGAAATCCATCACAGAGATTAAAGTGTGGCTGAGAAAAACAGTTCAGCTCCATAAAACTTCTCCCCTCAGATCCAAAGCTGCAGTTCAGATAGAAGTGGGCATTTTCTGAATTTTATTTCATCAGAGAATAACAGCAAAGAACGTGTTAAAATGATTAGAAAAGCAGGGTGTTGCAATAAACTCCAGAATTTATGCTGCAGTTTCTCAGAGCCTATATTACTTCTGCTTTTTATTATTAGAAGTTTCCTTCTTGATAGATAATGTCATTCTATAGATAATAGAGGCTCACTGACTCATTTGTCATGAAGTCTTGGCCAAATGTGCAAAAGAAGTAGCTTTCTGTGCATTTCAATGTAAATGTTTATTTCTTCAGGCATACATTCTCAGACATTTTAGCATAATTCATACAGTTTTAAGGGCGTGCTTGTGATACTATCACACGCAAATAGATCCTGCAGGTGTAGATGAAGGACACAAGAAAGGTTATGGTGCTTTATCTGTTTTATTTGTGAGAGAAAACTGTTGATCATACAGTCTTACAATAGTTTTCAAACTTGTTTGCATTTTGTGACATTACAGCCATTCCTGTGGTCTACTGAGATTCTTTGTGATTGACTAGTACAAAGCAGTGTATAAATGAGTCTGAATCTCATATGTTTTAAGCTACAATTGCAACTCCAAGCCTTTTGAATTTCACAACCAGAAATCAGAATTCGTACTCTTTCGGTAATGGAGAGTCTTGCTGAATCAAGTATGCAAAACTGTGTGGAAAGTCCACGCTAATCTTAAGGTACTTTATTGATGCACGTATTAAATATTTACACCGACCATGAAAGTGGAAATGACAGAGAGCACTTTGAGAAAATTGGGCTGAGATCAAAAGAGGCTTCGGTTGTGTCGTGTCTATGTGATTTGACAGAACACGTACATGGACCCTGCTCTCAGAAGATTAAAGCTGCCTATTGGCAGCTGCACAGATGGACCAGCATGGCTATATGTTACAGCTTTACATCAATAGGCTTTTATACTAACTGCAGGGAGAAGAGATCAGCTTAAAAGAAGGGAAATTTGCAATCCCAAAAAATAGAAATTAGCTTTAAATCAGCCAAAACTGAGCTTTGTGACACACAGAAACGCTAACAAAACACACAACACTTCAAATGTGGAAAATTAATTTTTTCTTCTTTAAAGAATGACTTCATTTGTTCAATAAAGCATCTTTTTTTCTGAGATATACTGAAAATTAAATTATGGTACTGATGCTTTGGGTATTGATGTTTACTGTTAAAGAATCTCATATGTTTTCTGATAAATTAATGTTTTTTTAATTAT